TTGCAGCAGATTGATGTAATGGCAAGCTGTTGTGGTTGGCCTGGTGGCCCCTCAGCAATGCTTGTGTCCGTGCTGTCAAATGGTTGAGCTCCTTTTAAGGAAATAAAGCACTGAAGCAGCTCAGAGCAAGGACACTTGCCTGCACCAGTAACTAGCTACTTGTGCAGGTTGCCACCTCTGAATGCCCATGGCTGGGAGGGAAGACCCCAGGACGTGAAGGCAATGCCAAGTTCCCAGTGATGCCAGGCACCAAGGCTCTGTAGTTACACAGGCTTCTGCTTCAATAACAGGGTTGCAGAAGGGAGGTAACATCAGTCACTTGACATTTCCCACTGGAGGAGAAAAATCTCAAAAAGCTCTTTCCTTTTAATGTCTCTTCCCATGCTAGTGTCCTCTATTTTAAACAAATAGAGAGTTTCTATCTTCATATAAATCTCATCTATCTTCTATTGATGTCTAGGATCACCTTGACTTGTTATTTTGGGCATCTCCTGTCAGTTGTCCAATAGTTTCAACCCAATTTTGTGAGATGAGTTCTTCCCATCTCTTCCTCTCAGAAAGAAGAATATCTGTACACATTATATATTCCAGGTCCAGGCTGTAATCTGTGACTATGGTGGTGATCACTTTTTTCAGTGAGAAACCCTTGACTTCTGTGTTGGAAGTCTAAATTGTCATCTTCAGCATCAGACAGCTGCCTGTGCAGAAGTGGTGAGCCTGCAGTACCTTTCTGAGGCCAGTAACGCTGTGTGATGGCTTTTTGTTTTTTACCCAGCAATGGCCAGCTATGTTATGGACAGTTACGGATAAAGGAAGGTACTGCTTGCCTTTCTAGGCAAATGCTACCACTGCAGCAAATGGCTTTTTCTGCATGAAGTAGGGTCTGACCTACACTCACTGAATCATTAGCTTCCCACATATGGCTTGAATTAGGATACAGTCCCAGGGCAGAAACAGCCCTAAATTGCAACCGTTTACCACATACAGGATGTTCAGTACTGATTATCCACAGAAGGTGCACGCAACATTTAACCTGAAACTTGAACTTGAACGGAGACAATAAAAATTGGCAGAAGATATATCAAATCAGCTCCTATGTTATAGGTTAGCATGGGAAATAGGGCTGACCATCAAAATAGGCTGCAAAGCACTAATTCTTAATGGAATGGAATTTCAGTGGCATACGTACTTCTAAATAACTTAGATCAACATTTCAAAAGGATATTTAGGGGAGAGAATAAAATAGAGTCTTTAGTGCCTTAAAGAGCTGTGAAAATCTAGCTCTTTGCTTGTCTGAAAATGTTCCCTGTGTTTTCTAGAAAAAATAACATAGAGCAGGTGGGTGAGCAGAGTAAAAAAATAAAATAATAAAAAAGTTACAGGTGCCAGATCTGCTTGAGAGGGAAATTTGGGGTGGAGAAGAGGACAAGGAAGGAAGAAGATCTACTGGACAGAGCAGCAGAAATGAAGTTTGCAGGAGGAAGCTGCTCAACACATAGTGGCATTCTGGGAGTTACAATATTAAAAACATAGCAAGCTCATCAAGGAAATGAAGAGACATAGCAGTGACCAGAACATGTCTTTTAATATGTTTCTGCTTTGCTGTGCTGCTTGGGGTTATTACTAGAGACTGTTGATGACTTTACTTCCACAAATGACCTTTTCATACCTGCTTACCATTTTTACATTGGTCAGAGACAACCCGTGTATTGGGTGCCTCTGTCTGGGGACACAAATCAAAGCATATATTTCATGAACCTCTGAACACATCCCTTATGAAATTTGCACCCTCTCTAGTCTTTTTAAATGAGCCACTCAAAGCTGAAGGCACCCAATAAAATCTGGCAAAAGATTGAGTACTTTAACTTCTGAAGTCTACTACACCTTCATTCTCAGAACAGGAGAGATGTTTCAAATGGTTCTCTCTATCAGGTCTATAGCACCATGTTCAAGTCTCAGTCTAGATTTGGAAGAAGCAATAAAAGAGATTTTTGAAAACATGCAGAGGAGGTAGAGCCTATCTTTCTTTTCTAAAAATAGCTTATTTCCCCTAATCTTTGACCTTTAAAATGCTAAATTGATGAAAAATGTAATTAAACTTTTGACTCCAGGGTTAAAGATTTCATGAAGTGTTACTACAAATCTGAGTAAGCAAACGGTCATTTGAACATTTCTATCTCACAGGCTGATTAAAATTAAAAACAGATTTCTCACCTAATTTTAGTAAGATGAAGTAAATACTTACTCTTTTCATTTAAGAAACCTGTAGTTTCCATTGTTACCTCTATAAAACTACATGTACAAAAAAGTTCTCCAGAGCCTAGTGGCCCTCTTCCATAAATGTCTGACTCAAATTACCCTTCCTCGGTGCATGCCGTATGGACAGCTGATCTCTCAGGGTGTTACAGATTAAGTGGAATGTACTGTAAATCCTATGTTGAAATACAGCCAAGTGCGTGGGGGATTCCCTTTTTGACAAAGGAAGCAGATGGGACATTAGGAAAGTCATATAGAGAAAAAATGTTGCCTGGTCAAATCTGCTCATGTGCATCACCTGTCAGTTATCATAGGTCACAGTCTATCTCCCAGCTGTGAGATATATATAATATCAGTGGGTCTTTACAATACTCTCCCATCTATCTATCATTCTTCAAACTACTTTTTCAGATCATCCTTTTCTACCTAAGTTTGGTGATAAACAGAGGTGAGAAACAGATCTTAGGAGATGACAGCATTGCACTGAACACCAAGTCTTGTCTACACTGCCATGCCACTGCCTACATAGAAAGACAGTCTCATTCATCCCTAATACATCTATAGGATCATATAGGCCAAATACAGCTCCTAAGGCATTGGTTTATCCATAACAGGTTTTCTTTTGACGATGATCCAGAATGTGCATAGCAATCATACGGCTCCTGATATGTTTGGGGCATGTGTTCAGACCCTTTTTGTAAAAAAAAAAAAATTATTTTTTCAGTATACTGTTATCAAAAAGTTAGTTTAGAGTAGAAAAGGGAGCAGTAGAAGAGGTAAGACTGTATGCAGCTTTACAGAAAAGACAAACATTGCAAGTGCTGGAGTTGATACCTACAGTTAAGATCATCCCTAAAAGGGAGTACTATGAATTGTCTGTTTCTGTTGACTATGGTAAATGTCTCACTACAAGATGTGGCCCTTCAAAACCAAAGAGCTATGGGTACAGAAAGTGGCAGTAGAAAAAATGTGGAAGTCAGGACATGGAAAATCTAATTTATTGGTGAGTGTACAAAGTAAAACTAATGAGAACAACAGATGGAACTTGTCATATTTAGGACACCAAAGATAACACGTTCCCCTTCATTTATTACAGTAACTTTCAATATGTGTTTATATTGATATATAATTGAACTATTGGGAGAATTGTTACATCATCAGCAAATGTAAAATTCATCTTTGCTGGTTCAGTATGATTGTGAGGTGAAGTAAATTCAATGCAATCAAAAATGATGCGTGTTTGGGTTTGAACAAGGTATTTTTTTAAATTAGTATTATTTTTTACATTAAGGCTTAAATATTTTGTAGGGTTTAGTTACTGTGGGAGAAAGGAGGTTTAATTCATTTTGCTGAATGGATACTGCTGAGTGTGTACTGCTACTACATAAGCAGTAGAGGCAAGATTTTGTCCGAAGAGCTTTGGTCTGAGAAGCAAAGCACTAGGGAAGTGATCAAATTATTAAAAAGCATTTTTTTTAAATTAATTTGTTCATAAGGTATGTCAATATGCATGTAGGAGCTGAACTTTACGCTCATATTTTTGGTAAGAGAGGATCAAGTGGTAAATAAAGCGAAGATGCATAAGATGCTGCATTCCCTACTAGCTAGTGCTGGAGTTTGGGAGTAGGCTCTATTCCTAATCCTGACACCATCCTGCTGTATTACTTTGACTTGGTGATTTTGCCTTCTGTGCCTCCCTTTCCACCTACCGTCCTTTACTGGACTTCCTTAGACAATAAACATTTAAAGGCAATTGCAATCTGTGTAAACAGTCTTCCACCCTGACCATCATTCTTACAACAGGAATGTAAAACGATTAATAATACTTTTATTTATGGATAAAAAAACATATTTTGATAGTCACTCCTCTCCTGAAATATTTTTATTATATAGGGCATTGATCACAGCATTCTGGGAGTCATTGTGCTTTTTTTTTGCCTTTTTTTTCTTTCTTTCTTTTTCCTACTAGAAAACAAGCATCATGCTCAGGTAATATCATCTAGTCTTTTTTAGTGTACTACATGTGAGCTGATGCACACAGTAGTCAGCAGCATTGCTAGTCCTTGGTGTGGAGTCTGGGATCCCTAAGAAGAATCAGCATTTTGCAAAATCATCTCTGGACAATAATTTATTTTAATCTAACAGACTTTATCAATTGTGGACTTTTACCTAGAAGAACAAAATTCAAGTGTTTTCTAAAGTTCTCCCAGTTAAAAAAATCAAGGGTAAATGAAGATCAGATATTGGAATCCGAAACATATGAATACTATGTGTGTTATAATATGGCATTTCTGGAGAAAACTGAATAGCAAATAACATTCAGGATAGCATTCAAATTAATAATAAAAATAATAATAAAAATACCTGAGAGTTTACTGAAATTTATCAAATCTGAGTTCAGATAATTTTGACCTGGAACTACATATTTAATTCCATTTCCTATGCAGAATGAAAACCATCTTTCCTGGGGAGAATTTCATGCAATCAATCATGCTTTAGAAATAAAATAAATAGTAGGATCTTTATAACTTCTCTGTGGATGAACAGGCTTGTTGTCCTTCAAAATGCCTTTCCCAAAGAGAAGGTTGCACAAAAAACACTAAACACCTGAGTAATCCTGTACCAAACAAGATGAAAAGGCACAGGACCTGCTTGTATACCAGCTTGCTGTATAGTATTTTAACATTATTAGCATATTATATTACGTACTAATATTTCTTATCAGAGTGGACTAGTCATCTTACCCAAAACTCTCTCATTCTTAGCACTCTGTTGTCCTCCAGTACTAGTTGAAAGGTCCTCTGGTACAGGCATAGGTTCATCTGCATCATCTGGGACATCACTAATTGGAGGACTTTCCTTTCCTAGTAGTGAAGAAAATAGCATCAGTGAGTCATCAGGGTAGCCTCATTTTCAAATTACCATAAAAGGAATGACAAACCAAATAAAACTTCACAAAAAAACGCGAACGCTACTAAAAGCATGGCATTCTTAGGACCAAAACCTGCTGTCCTTCAGAGAAAGCTTCTTTTGAATACAGGGGAATTATATTTGTGAAACGAATGAATGTCCAATGTCTCTTCCAAATTTACTGAGGTCTGGATACACAGTTATCAGTCTTACCCTTTTGGATATTTGTAACACACACAGACATTTTTCAGCTGCTATGCTCAGAAGATCCAGTATAGCCAACGTAGACCGACAGATTGCAAAGGTCATCAAATGGTCATCCTTTGTAAAAACTCTTCTTTATTCCATAAATGGTCCTTGAGAGCACGTCCAGATTTGCTTCAAAGACATAGCGAAGTCTAGCCCACAAGTGTTCTGGAGCTCTAACAGAACTACCCAAGAAAAAAAATATTCTCTCCAACGAAAATTTGAACTATGTCTTCAGCAAGCTTCACTAATACTGACAGACCAAGCTTTGGCTGGTCCTTGTGCCTACAAGTAATTAAGTGTCTGTAGCTCCTGGGACTTCCTAAAACATGTACAATTAGCAGAGGTCAGTCAAAACATGACTTCAAGGGGTTGATGGCCTCTTATTTGTAAAGAGGAAACAAACTCCAGTATCTTGTGTATACAAGGTTTTGCAGAAGAAAAAAGTCTGGTGCTTTAGTGTTATAAATACTATGGAACTGTTTTAGTGCTGAACGCAATACAATAAGGAAAATAACTCTCTTGCTCAGTATTGCACTTCCAGAAATGCTGAGGTTTCTTGGTTTAGGTCTCAGGCACAACATATATATCCTGGCCACAGTACTATCCCTGTCTTGCAGAGCTTCTTTTAAAATGACTTCACACACCTCTAACAAAAGCATGGCATGGAAACAACTACCAAAACAATTATCTAAGTGATTAGTTTCTTCAACTATTACTAAAAGGCTGGTCTTTGCATTCATAGCAAAGAATGGAATAGGCCCAGAGCAGGATTTGAACTCAGTAATGTTCGCATAAGACCTTTGTCTCCAAAATGGAGATGTTACCAATTTACACTGATGCAATCTATTAGACATTCTGTGGCAATCAGCACACCAGCAAGGGCAGTAATTTCATGGCACAAAGGCCTAGCAAATCAGTGTTTTCTTCTAATGAAAGTTCCCTCATTAACACACAAACATTAATTAATTCTGAAATCACTTCTCAAAAAGGAAAAAATGAAACAAATACAGCTTGCTTAAGTGACAACAGTCTGGTGATGCCAGTTATGGATTTGACCTGAAAGAAGAAAACAGTTTCTTCCCAACCTCCTGGATGGAGCAAAGCATCGTGCTTTTCAGTCTATACTGATCATGGCCGGGGGTGGGGGGGAAGCGGGAAATGACAGGTAGGTTTAAGCCACCTTCCAAATTAGCTGGTTTGAGTTGTTTGCAGAATCTAGGTTAAAATGAACAAAATGAGTGGGTGACTGCATTTCTTAATGATGCGTCTATCAGAGTGTGGAATTATCTCTGAACAGGAGTGGTGGGAGCGGTATCAGGTGAATCATCTAAAACTGCAGCCAGAGGACTTGAGGGTAATGAAGGAACAGTCCTGCACTGACAGAGGGACTGACTAGATGATTTCATAAGGTTCCTCCCATCTCCAGCTTCTGCAGGGTATTCTTAAATGGGCAAAATCACACCCACTGGATGGGAGTGCAAGAGCAAAGGTAGATTGCGTAAATGGAAACGAAGGACTATGAATTTTACAGCAGAGGAAAGTAAAAGCCGGAAGTTCATTAAAACAGTTTTTGCCATTCCCTGTTTAGCTCCTTATTTAGTTATTTCTGTAGTTTTCTGCACTATTTTGATGGGATGTAAGGAACTTAAAGGACTGCCAGCAACTTTCCAATGCAAGTCCCATCCTGCCAAGCTGATGTCTCTCTTACAGATAGGATGCATAGGCGAGGAGAGACAGCTGAAATATTTCAGCTTTTTCAACACTTCCCCCCCCAAACAAAAACAAACCCCAAAAAACAGAAGTTTAATCAGAGGGCAAGAGGCAGTCTGGTCAGAATCAGCTCTCTTGACACTACATGTAGGTTAAGGAAATCTGTTAAAAAGTAATAGTAATCAAAAGCCACCTGCATCTTCCAAGGTTCAAACTGTGCTGCCAGTTACAAGAATGGAAGCTGATGCTTTGACTTAGTCTAGATTCAGAAGAACACTTACCCTAAAAACCTGAAGGCTTTTTTGGCTACAAAACAATATAAACGCATAATATCAGACCTATGAGATGACAGATAGCAAACAAAATCAAAACTTTCTTAGTGTGTAACTAGGCATCCTACAATAAGCAGGCCAAGTAGGATGCTTTGAAGATGAGTCAAAGCAGTCTTTTGGAATAGAAGCTTGTTAGTAGATCAGTACTTTCGCAGTTTGTGGTGAACTGTTTAGTTCACTAAACAGATATCAATATTCTATTTGTTAAATTAATAGCCATTTGCCCAGGTGGCCTGAGTCAGACTAGCCTCATGGACTTGGTGGGGCAGAAGCTGGAGATCTGGTATGCTTCCTTCTTTGCAGGAAACTGCAGTTAAGGAAACTTAGTAAACTTGGCTTTAATGACTCATTTCATATAATTTGATTTCTTCCTGTTACACATGATCGAGAAATCCCTGCATGCAAAAAGGCAAGGTAAAAATAGTGGATTTAAAATAGATATATTTGTTGAGCTCTGTATCTTGGATTCTAGAGCATGATATTTGTATTTCATGCCTTAACTCCATCTAAATTGTTACACCATGATAAGTTCCCTACTGCATGGTAATATTACAGATAAGCAATCTCACTAACATCCTTTTGCCAATAAATTTAGAAATGGAAGTGGGATGGGGGAAAGGAGGGAACATTTTCCCATTTAATTTTTAACAAGCATGGACAGAACAATAACTGGTCTAAGGGACAGAGCTAAAAAAAAACACCTAGTGGCAAGTACTGGGGTAAATTATTGAAATGTCACATAGCAGAGCAAAGTAGCATGGATTTATTCCATTCCCATTTTATATTTTTGCTCAAAAATAAGAAGTGAAACATAAACAATGCAATCTAATCTTGGGGCAGGGGGTGTTGTCTTTTTTTTTTTTTTTTTTTTAATTTTTATAAAGAGCCACCTGACATATCAAATGAAAAAGACAAGGGAGCTGTGGAGTTGAAGGTCTGTTTCTGGCACTGCCACTGATTCACAGTGCCATTGGTTAAGTCATAAATGGAGATAACTTCAATGGCAGGCTGTATCATACATTCCCCCAATTCATCCTGAAGCTCTGAAAGATGGTTTCAGATTTCCAAACACTGCCGTTTCTATATGAAAATTGTCAGAGAAGTACCTAACCTATCAACGGTGCCTGGTAAGACCCTCAACTTCTCTCTACTTGAGTTTCCTCATCTCTGCCCTAACAACAGTTAAAGACACGAGGAAAGAGAGGAAGGGAACAAAGTGCCCAGGCCAGTAAGGTTTTATGCATCTTTTATTCCTACCAAAGTCCGTAGCCTGGTGTTTCTTTAACATCTCCGTTCAGTTCTGAGAGCAATTCAGTTTGTGCCAGGATGGTGTTGTTGGAGCTACAGCTGTTAAAAAGAAAGCTAGGGCAGGATTTCTTACAGAAATCTCATTCTCTATCCTTTCACAAACTAATGTTGCGTATATTTAATACCTGAGGGTTGTTTCCTGTGGAAACACTAGAATGGCTGGAGAAGTTAGGCAAGAAAAACAACATACACATTTTTCTGGATGAGAGTCACAACCCAATTCACATCCCCTTTTCACTAGTGGAACCTCAAACCTCCAGTAATGAGAAGGGAGTCCTCTGGGACAGGAGTCAGGCTCTCAGGTGGGAGATACCAGCCCAAGATACACTCATTTCCACCTTCCCAGGACCTAGCAAGAACATCAAATGCAAAACTCTTCTTCCTGCTTTTGCATAGTGCGGCACAGCCTGGTGGGTGCTTGGGGGATCTTTTTATGTTAGATGTGGAAACATTTGTACTGTTTTTTCACTTTCCTTAACTGTTAGGCCCTAGAACTGAGAAAAAAAAAGAAAAAAAAAAAGGCAGGAAAAATACTGCTTGTTAAGTGAGATATTATCTGTGTTTTCTGACTGTCTTGTACGGGTGCCGGATACTGTTTGGTTAAATGTATGTCAGCTCTCTCCTCATTTCAGAACTGCAACTGCTTGCCTCATGAAATATCACTTTCAGGAGAAAAAGAAAAACTGTGAACTCTGCACTAGTCACACGGTATTTCAGTTCCTCTAGGACTCAGCCATGCCTGGATTCCCGGAAGCGGGAATGCCTATGCACAAGCAGGGATTGGCTCGCTCACACTAGTTTTATACTCTCTTGGCCTGGCTTGCCCTTGCCACACCTGAGTCAGCTACAGCTGCATAAAGCACATGGCTGCAAAACACTGCTTTTGAGCTGAGAAGACTGTTTCTATAGGCCTATTTTATTTCTGGGTTAAAAAAAAAAAAAACAACAAAGCAAGAAACCCAAAGAAACCCCCCAACTAATTTTTTTTTTTTTAAACACAACCAAGTGTGCTAGTGAACCAAGTCACCTAATTCCATAGACTCAGAGAGTAAGCTACACCTGATGAGCATTACTCACAGAGCAGGAGAAAGAAATAAAAGTGTTTTTCAGATGACAAGACAATCTCACACTCCTGAAACTGTGCAATTGTCTAACTGGTTCCCAATATATAGTAGAGATCCCTTGTCATGCAAGAAAGCAACCTAGAAGCATGTAGAACCCCAGGAGGAGGACAAGAGGGGGAAAACTCCTTTCTGGATTCACCAGCCTATGAGAAAGAAGAAGGTAACATCCCTGTACCTTTAGATCTTCTACTTTCAAGATCTAGTAAGAGTTTACAAAGAGCCAATATCTGGGGAACCTAATCTGACAAACTCCTGTTTCCAGAAGGCTGAGTTCACACACAACTCAGATCATAAATGAAAGTAAATTAGCAAGTTCTTTCTTTGGCCAGTTGTTCACAAATCCAGCTAACAATGCAATACAACTCACAGCCTCTGCTCACAGAAAGTATCAGATGCTCAGTGGCAGGAACAGCAGGAAGAGTTCAAAGCAGATTTTTTTTTTTTTTCTGTAATCTGTTTATGTAGGTCTACCTCTTGTCAGAGGTAAAGTTCCTCTTACACTGATATGTATATGTATTTTAAGAGAACCTCTCTCATCACAGAATAGTACTATTCTCATCAGCATGGTTTGCTAGAAAAGCTAAAGGGCGCAGGAAAGTACTACAGTGGTTCAAATCCTGGAAAACTTTGAGAGGTACAAATTATATACATAGATATACATGTATTATGTATATATTTACATATACACAAACATTCAAAATCACAGAGTTTCTTGCAAATCTTCCCTCTCAGGGGAGAGGCAGACCATAAGGAAGGCAAAGTGTGTGACCTTCTAATCCACTTGTTGACTCAAGGCAGCATCTCCCACACTGATCCTCCCCACGTCAAAAGAGAAAAAAAGCAATGCCCTGGTAAGCAGGTAGCAGGTGTGGAGCTCAGATTAACACCATTGTAAAAAGTACCACAGATATTAGGTGCGGGTATCTAGGGGAACCTGTACTGCTGCAGAGGAAGAGGAGGTCAGCGGTCCTGCTCCCAGGAACTCACACAAGCAGGAAAGAACTTCTGCAGCAGGCAGAGGAGCTAGGCTCGAGTCACAGTGCCTCTCACTGCTCCAAGCATATCCACAGTGCTTTGTCTGCATAAAGGATTAAAACCCCACTGCTTTTCCTGCTAGGGCCACACATGCTCCAAGCACAGCATGTATAGGACAGGTTTTATTTAATTTACAAATTGTTTCAGCGTGCAACAAAACACTGATGTGTAAATATATCCAGTCGCAATTTTTAAATTGTTACCTGAGGAGGGGAGTGCAACATGCCTCCAAAGGGCTGACTAGGAATGACTTCCCTAAACTAAACGTAACTGATAATCTTCTGTTGGCATGAAGGATTATTATATTGTTCTTTCAGACAGAAAATATCTTTGATTTTCAATTTCAGATGACACTAAAAGTTCTGGGTTCCAATTTTTGAGAAAACTCCTCAACATTTTTAGAAATGAGGCGGGTGGGGGGAAGAGAGAAAGAAAATTGGGTTCATATATTTCAGGAAAACCCAGTGACCTAGCCACCCACACTGTACCGAGACCTTCATGATCTCCTACAGCTGGCCTCCAGGTCCTGAGCTGGCGGTGCCCAAGAGCTGCCTCTTAAGAAAGAGCTGCATGCCCAGGTATCTGCCAGGAGCAGCCTCGGTGATGGGGCCCTTGTGCTCCAGGCTGAACACTAAAAGTGAAAACTGAAAGCCATTAACCGTTGCAGCTGCCAACATACTCGGGAAACTAGGAAAGAGACTAAATTGTCCTTTTTCAACTGGAGGCACAATGGTATGAATACGTATGATCTTGCTAAGCCAATTTTTTAGGGAACCAATTTCCAAGGAAGGTAAGAATAAAACCCCCCATAGGATATCAATATAGGGCAAGACTGCAAAATCCTATCCATGCCACTACAGGGCAAATTTTAGAAACCTAACTTCTCTGCTCTTTAAAATTTTATCAAAATATTATCATCTTGGACAAAACCAGTTACAAGCATAAAGCCTCATGTCAATCAGTCCTTTTTTTTTTTTTTTTTTTCTTTTTTTAAATGTTTATAAATAAAAGTGAATACTCTGGAAAAATTCAAATAACCCTATGTGGTGAATATAGTTTGCTTGCTTTTAATTAGTATTTGCTCCCTCCCACCTGGTGAACTTTGTTTGTTCTATATTTATTTTGTAACAATGAGAATTTTGGTCCCAGAA